TGTCATAGGGGTTTGTTGTACAGATTATTTCGTCACCCAGGTATTAAGCCTAATACCCATTAGTCACTTTTCCTGATCCTCTCCCACCTCCCACCTTCCACCCTCTAATAGATCCCAGTGTATGATATTCCCCTCTATGTGTCCATGTGTTCTCATTATTTAGCTCCCACTTATAATTGAGAACATGTGATATTTGGTTTTTGTTCCTCTGTTAGTTTGCTAAGGATAATGGCCTCCAGTTCCATCCATGTTCCTGCAAAGGACATGACCTCATTCTTTTTTGTGGCTACATGGTACTCCATGGTGTATACGTACATTTTCTTTATTCAGTCTACCACTGATGGGCATTTGGGTTGATTCCATGTCTTTGCTATTATGAGTAGTGCTGCAATGCACATGTGCATGCATGTGTCTTTATGATAGAATGATTTATGTTCCTTTGGGTATATAATCAGTAATGGGATGACTGGGTCAAGTGGTAGTTCTGTTTTTAGATCTTTGAGGAATCGCCACACTGTCTTTCACAATGGTTGAATTAATTTACACTCCCACCAACAGTGTATAAGTGTTCCTTTTTCTCCACAACCTTAATGGCATCTGTTATTTTTCAACTTTTTAATAGCCATTCTGACTGATATGAGATGGCATCTCATTGTAATTTTGATTTGCATTTCTCTAATGATCAGTGATGTTAAGCTTTTTTTCATATGATTGTTGGCTGCATGTCTGTCTTCTTTTGAGAAGACATGTCTTTTGTCCACTTTTTAATGGGGGTTGTTTGGGGTTTTTTTTCTTGTAAATTTGTTTAAGTTCCTTATTGATGCTGGATATTAGACCTTGTCAAAAGCATAGTTTGCAAAATTCTTCTCCCATTCTGTAGGTTGTCTGTTCACTCTGATGATAGTTTTTTGTTTTTTGTTTCATTTTGTTTTGCTGAGCAGAAGCTCTTTAGTTTAATTAGATCCCATTTGTCAATTTTTGCTCTTGTTGCAGTTGTTTTTGCTGTCTTTGTCGTGAAATCTTTGTCCATTCCTATGTCCAGAATGCTATTGCCTAGGTTGTCTTCCAGGGTTTTTATAGTTTTGGGTTTGACATTTAAGTCTTTAATCCATCTTGAGTTCACTTTTGTATATCGCGTGAGGAAGGGGTCCAGTTTCAAGCTTCTGCATATGGTTAGCCAGTTATTCCAGCACCATTTATTGAATAGGGAATCCTTTCCTCATTGCTTGTTATTGTCAGGTTTGTCAAAGACCAGATAGTTGTAGGTGTGCAGCCTTATTTCTGGGTTCTCTATTTTGTTCCATTGGTCTATGTGTCTGTTTTTGTACCAGTACCATGCTGTTTTGGTTGCTGTAGTCCTGTAGCATAGAGTTGGGTAGCGTGATGCCTCCAGCTTTGTTCTTTTTCCTTAGGATAGCCTTGGCTATTTGGACTCTTTTTTTTTTGTTCCATATGAATTTTAAAATAGTTTTTTTCTAGTTCTGTGAAGACATTGGTAGTTTAATAGAAATAGCATTGAATCTATAAACTGCTTTGAGTAGTATGGCCTTTTTAACAATATTGATTCTTCCTATCCATAAGCGTGGAATGTTTTTTCCACTTGTATTATCTCTCATTTCTTTGAGCAGTGTTTTGTAGTTCTCGTAGAGATATTTCGCCTCCCTGCTTACCTGTATTCCTAGGTATTTTGTGTGTGTGTGTGTGTGTGTGTGTGTGTGTGTGTGTTGTGAATGGGACTGCATTCCTAATAGCTTTTGGCATAACTGTTGTTGGTGTATAGGAGTGCTAGTGATTTTTGCTTTTTTTATTTTTATTTTTATTTTTTTTGAGACAGAGTCTTGCTCTGTTGCCCAGGCTGGAGTGCAGGTCATGATCGATTCTCCTGCCTTAGCCTCCCAAGTACCTGGGATCAGGCACATGTCACCATGCCTGGCTGATTTTTTATATTTTTGTAGAGATGGGGTTTCACCCTGTTGGCCAGGCTGGTCTGGAGCTCCCTTACCTCACATAATCTGCCTGCCTCGGCCTCCCAAAGTGCTAGGATTACAAGCATGAGCCACTGTGCCCGGACACGGTTTACATTGATTTTGTACATTGATTTTGTATCCTGAGACTCTGGATGCATATCTTTCTAATAGCCTGTGTGATGAAATGGGAAGTATGCATAAAGCATTTCTTCTGCATGTCCAAGTTAGATGGTTATCATGGAGAAAAGAACCTCTGTAGTCTATTGAGTTGAAAGCTGAACTAGGAATTGTTTTTTATGGGACATCATCTCTATTTTAAAAATATGTATCTCTGGCAGATAAATTATGGATATTCAGACCTGGTATTTGGTAAATCATTTTCTTAAAAAAGAATGAGAGAGCCTGACACTTCAGGAAAAATAACTGACAGTATCTCTTGCCATTGATAAAATTCAAACTTTAAGCAAAATCTGGAAGTTTGGAAAACTTACATTCACTACCATGAGCTTGACAGCTTCCGTCAATGGTTTTCTGATGAGATTGATGGTGATTTTAACAAATGGGATTTTTTTATGTTGTACAATGAAATGTGTCAAAATTTGGAGATAGGTAAAAGGGTCTTGATAGGTAAAAGGCAGGCAGATTATGTGAGGTAAGGGATCTCTAGACCAGCCTGGCCAACATGGTGAAACCCCATCTCTACAAAAATATAAAAATTAGCCAGGCATGGTGACATGTGCCTGTAAAAAGTTTGAGAAATGCTGGCCTAGTAGCGAATAGCATGGAGTTTGGGGCCACACTGCTTGGGTTCAAATCCCCGTGCTACTGCTTATTGCTTGTATGGTCTCAGGTAAGTGCTTCACCTCTGTATGCCTCAGCTTCCTCATCTGTAAAATGGGGATAATAATGGAACCCATCTGTGAGAGGTATTATAGGCATAAAAATGAGTTAATATGTAGAAATATTTGTGAATGTTAAAATGAATTAATATGTGTAAGTGCTTAGAATAATGCCTGACTTACAGCAAGTGCTCAGTGAGTGGTTATTACTGGTCTTGGTGAGTGAAAATTTGTGAAACTGAGCGAACACATTGTAAACACATAGTAGAAGAAAGTTTTTTTGAAATTATATGGGAAATCCAAAACTGCTTTTCCTCCTGTTGCCTCTGTCTCACTTTTGGCCCTGGAAGTACACTCCTGGGAGTGATGCGTTACTGAGGGCCGGCTTGTTCTCAGTCCTGCTTGTCCATTGAGCCTCTGTTGTTTGGGGAGATTGTTCCTTACTTAGCAACCACAGAATGGGTTTTTAAGAAAGACTTGCTGAGGCAACATAATTTTCAAGGGTACAGTTAAATAAATGGAATATAAATAGTATACCACTGTATATCCTTTGCATTTTTAGAATTAGAAGTCACTTTCCTGCCTCAGCAATGTGCATTTCTTTTAAGCTCAAAGAGTTGTGGAAATTATGTGAAAGAGAAAGAGGGTAAGGTCTTGTACATTTTCAGTGTTTAATCTAAGATAACCTAAGATTTAAAGGAGAAAAGGACCAACTTGGAAAGAACCTATGTCTTCAGTCCTACAAAGAGACTACATTTGAGCTATTTTTACCTTTAAATTTTTAAAAAAAGTGAATGACTTGCTGACATCGTTCATTCATTCACCAGTATTTGCTGAGTGCCTCCCATGAAGTGCCAGGCCTCTTACCCCATGTGGTAAAGAAAGGACATGGGCCCTGACCTTCTGATGTGAGTGCATTCGGGTTTTCTAATTTCTCCCACCTGCTGTGTAAAAGATTAGGAGTGTTCATCTGCTATTCCCTGGCATACGTCAATAGACAGAACAATATGTTTTATCCTTCTTAGATGTTCATGAAAACATTCTGAAGTTAGTATAAGGTAAAGAAGGTAAGATAGACTGCAAGAAATGTATGATTGTTTCTTTTCCTAAAAGAACACAAACAAAATCACATATTTTTTTGGAGTACTGATGATAGGCACATAAGCTCATGTTTGATGGTTAATAACAAACAACCAGAGTGTGTAAGTCATTGGAGTTTCACTGACTTAGGTGGCTTCTGCTGTGCTAGGAGAAATAGGACCTCAAAAAGAGCTCATTTGGGGACCATCTTTTTTATGTGTCATCCCACATCACTCTGCATGTGATGAGAATGTTGCATCGGCCCATGGCAGTTTTTATTCCTCACTCTAGACTTGGTCTTTAATTGTGGCCTTATGTCAAGTTCCTCAAGTGTATATAGTCACCTGTTACATAGGTTCAGAGTGGTCTTTCCTTTCATTTCAGGGGTATGTTTCATGAGCAAATTATAAATTACCTTGAATATCTTTTTAAGATAATGTTGAAAAACACAGAGCAGTATTTTCATTGAGATCATGTCCTTACTGATATACTAGCATTTAAGATTTGAGAGTATTTCCTTCCCATGTGGCCAGTTATTGGGAATAAGATATTAGATCGGGCTAAAAGCCAAAGAAGTGTTTCTTGAATACAGGCTAAGATTGAATTGTATTAACTCAACTGAATTCAATCTCAGCATTTGTTGTGGGTTTTAGTCATGTTCCTATTCCTGTCACAGCTAGGGCCTTCAGCAAACTACATCTCAGTAAATGCAGTTGTCTTTTACAAATAAATTGCACGGAAGTCAGTTAACCTGAGCAAGTGAACAAAGGCTGTGATTGTATTGCTGCTGTTTTGTTTCTCTTGATACTAGATCTTCTGTTCTTTCATTCATTACTATTAGTGTTAAAGAATTAAATATTAACTGCACATTGTTTTCTAAACAGAGTGACAGTTGTTATAAAGCTGATTTCTCTTTTCATAGCAATGCTCCCTGTTTGGCAGGTTCTGCCTGTTCTGTGTGTCATCTTTGCAAGGACTTTTTTGCCCTTGTGAGGTAACCAGCCATAGTATAGGGCCCCAAACAGATTGAACGTTTCTGTGATGAAAACTCATACACTTGTTTAATTGTGGATTCTAATCCTGTCTTTTACATGTGTGTGTTTATGTGTTTCAGGAAAAAAGTGCCAGCTCAAATGTAAGACTTAAAACTAATAAAGAGGTTCCGGGATTAGTTCATCAACCCAGAGCAAAGTAAGTTCTAGTTTCTGTTTTCCTTATGTAGTCGGGCTTCCATATCCATGGATTCTGCATCTGTGGATTCAACTAACCATAGATCAAAAATATTCAAAAAATAGTAATTCTACAAAGTTCCAAAAAACAAAATTTGAACTTGCCGCACACCAAGTACTATGTTGAATTCATATGAATGAAGTGATGTGTAGGCACTTCATTAGTTATTATAAGTAATCTAGAGATGATTTAGAGTATATGGGAGGATGTGTGGGGGTTATGCAAATACTGTACCATTTTATATCAGGGATTTGAGCATCTGCAGATTTTGGTATCTGCAGGGAGGTTGTGGAACCAATCCCCCACAGATACCAAGGAACAGCTGCATTGTTTTTAAAGCTAAAAATGTTTTCAGAGTGAATTCCATTTTGCCTACCAGATAATCAAGATCTAATATAAAGCTTTAGTAATTGAGAAAGTGTGGGTTGGTGTAACAGAACAGAATAAAGAAAACAGACCTACAATACATGACAAAGCTGACTTTGTAGGTCAGTTCGAAGAAAACAGACTATCACTATGACCATGAGGTGGGGAAGAATTTTGAATAAGACACAAAGGATGTAGTTCTTAAAGAAAATCATTAATTAATATGACAGTATTAAAATTAAGAAGCTCTTAAAGCTCTTAAAGGCAAAACCCAAATGTCCATTGAAAATATAATGGGTAACTAAACTGTGGCATCTAAACTGTGGGAATACTATAAATCAGTGAAAATGAGTGACTATAAGTACACACATCATGATGCAGGAATCTCGTAAGGATGAGGCAGTAGAGTAAGCAGTGGTACATGCCTACATATGGTTTCATTCACATGAAGTCAAAAAAGCAGAACTAAGGCATATATTGTTTATTAGTATATGGTAAAACAATAAAGATATATAAGGAAATGAAAAGGCATTAAATTCAGAATATTAGTTGTTTCTGACCAAATGGAAGACAATGGAACCAGAGGCTCTATTTCTTAATCTGGCTGGTAATTACATGAATGTTCAATTGTTATTTTGCCAAAAAAAAAAAAAAAAAAAGTACAAATAACATTGTATGTCTTCTGTGTGTTAGGTGTATCACAATTGGAAAGTTTAAAAGAAAAGAAAAAAAATTAACTTGAAGAAAAAGATTATATCACATGAAGACCTGTAGAGTACCTAATACATTTTCCCACTTATAGTAGAAACTTGAAAATATGATTGTTGATTACCAACAGATGACTATCCCTAAATGTTTCATTTAAAAGGTCATTGCACGTTCAAAAGTTAAAAAATAACGAGTAGTTTTCTAGATTGTTCTAGAACTGACTCTAACCTTAATGATAAAATGTACTTTGTATGACTTTGAAGCTATCCTCTCCTTCAAAGAGGCTGTGTTGTCCCAGAGGCTACAAATCTCTGTTGGTGTTTCACTTAAATGGAGACAAATTTCTTGAGAGTACCGATGACACTGGTACATTTGACACAGTCGCCCCTACCCCAAAATAAATTTGACTATTACATATATGTATCAATAGCCCCATAAATCAAAATCATAAGCAGAAGAAAGTATGTTGTCTCTGATTCTTCCAGAAAATTGTGACAAAAATTACCTAATACATAATCACTTTTCCCTGGCTCAGTGTCTGTGGAATCACCGCAGCTATGGCCACTGTGGTGTCGCAGTTAGGAGACCTCAGGGGGTAGGTAATGGGCTCTGTCATTTAATTTTTACTTTCAAAGAAAACTGGACATGTTAAAATCCACTTACCATTTACAATGTCAGTGTAATGATGCGGCTGATGTTTTCACCCTCAGGTAAATGTTGTGCTATGGCCACAACCTCCGTAGCCCACCTCACTGCTGATTACTTACATCTACTTTATCTGCCTTTGGGGACAGCAGATATCTGATAACACAGCCAAACCACCTTATCATCCAGGATATCTGAAAAATGCTATTTTTAAATGCTTCCCTTATCTCAGAGTTATAAAGAGAGATTGAACGGAGGAGAATTTCTCTTTTCTGTTTGAAAGAATACTTACTTAACATTGACACCCTGAAGCAGCACGCTTCACAGACTGACTTGTGCTGAAGCTTTCAGAGGAGAAAATTCTGTTTTCCCCACAGCAGTATGCTTCTGTGTGTGTGTGTGTGTGTGTGTGTGTGTGTACACACATTACATACATATGTGTATGTATTTCAAACTGTGAATCAGAACATCGGATTCCTGGAATTCAATTAAGAAATCTTTCTGGAGGGCCAAGAGAAGAGTTTTACTTTTCCTACTTGCTGACATGCGGGATCAATTTACTATACTGATGCATAAAATAAGATGAGACTTCTTTTTCCCCATAAGTGGAAGGACAGTCCCATACCATAAAGGCAGATCATCCTCATACCACCATTGAAGGCATGTCATCCTCATACCTTCATTTAATGCTTTCATTTGATATCAGTCAAGTGATCTACTGTCTTTGAGCTTCAGTTTTCTCAGAGAGAAATGGAAGTGAAAGATCTTGTCTTGTGGGGCTGGAGAACAAATGAAATAGGGTATGCCCACTGCTTGTGGCATTGTCTGGCACTTGGTAAAAATGCCTTAAATATCAGAAACAACCCAAATGCCTTTAACAGGAGTCTGCGTCAATCCACTACACTATAGTCACACAATGGGATATTAGTCAACGGTTCAAACAAATGCACAGCAGCGATGCACAATACTGGATGGGCCCTAGCAGTCTAATATTACAGGAAAAGAGTAAGTCCTGAAAAATTACATAGAACATGATGCACTCTGTAAAGTTTAAAACAACTGAAATAGTCTGTCTTTTAAAGGCACACAAAGAGATGCATTAAAACTATGTAAAAGCAAAGTGAGGGAGTGATAGTTACATTGGGTTGTGGGAACACACACATGGATGGGAGTTCACATGGAGTCAGCTATGGGTGGTTGTCAAGGTCCTTGCTTTTGTTTTTTATTTTGGTTTCACAGGTGTTTATTATACTACTTTTAAAAAACAAAATAACAACATAAATAAAAGTGAGCTGTGCATGAACTACTAGTAGGAGTCTGTCACAGAATGAGGGTTAGGATGAATCTGCTTCTCTGAGGTCCAGTTGAAAAATAATGATGATCATGAAGGAAAAACTGTGTTCAGGCTAAGATTTACCAGGGACCCAGCTGGTAATTGCATTTCGTTTTTGCAGGGGAGGCGGAACTTTACCCTGACCCTCTCAGGGTTTCTTGCTGGGCCTGAGAGTTAAATTGACATGAGACAGATGTAACAGGAGAAAAAATATCAATTTCTACATATACATGGGAGCCCCTATAGAAAAATGAAGACCCAAGAAGTGACAAAACCCACATATTTGTATACTAGGTTGAACAAACAGAGACAGTTGTGGAAAAGCACCTGAAATATGTGGGGAGACTAAAGGAAGAAAAGAATTATTTTAACAAAGTCTCTTAGTACAGAATTCTCTTGGCCTTGACTCCCTGTCTCTGGTGATGAGAATGTTTCTTTCCTCCTGGTGTTTCTTTCCTCCTCCCTGTTCACATGGGAGTTTCATCTCCTCCTTTCAGGAAGAAAAGAGGAGGTCAGAATTCCCCTCCTGCACCTGCTGCTTTCAGTTACCTTTAGCTCAAAATAGTCCTTATGCCAAAGTGGGCGTATTTTAGGGTGGCTTATTCTGCCATGCTTCACGGGCGAGGTATTAGGGAATTAGGACTTTGCCTCCTCATACTTTTGTGCTTAGCTTTTTATCATTTGTAGATTTTACTTTTTTAAGACACTGAAAGTGAAAGCCCCAAATCTTTTAACTCTAAAACCCATTTTGCCCGTCATTCATTAATCTGTTTACTTTGCATTAAGATGCCATCCTATTGTCATCCCTAGTCCCATGAAGCTGAGAAGTCTCAGGAAGAAGAGTGTTTGAGGGTGCAGAGTTAACTCACAAGAGCTTTGCCAGCACTAAGTGCCACAGGGAGTGCCCCAGTGGTGCATTGAGTTTTCCAAGGTTGAGTTTGAGTTACCGGAGAGAAGTAGGAATTACTAAAATTGTTAAGCCTTATTGGTTAAGTCAGGTACCAATGTGCCGGCTTTTGTAAGTGAATGCCAATGAATCTTTTGTAAGTGAATCTTAGAATCAATTATTCATCCTTTATAAACTTAAGTCATAAACAATTCAGTGATCCCTTTCTAATATCTTGAAAAAAGGTAGAAAAGCCAGTGAGCTCTTCCTCCTCATCTCCCCCACTCAAAATCATCAAATTGTACATCAGAAAGGATTTTAGAATCAAGTCGTTATGCAGGGACTGTTTTCCACAGTGCAGTTTGTACTCTTGAAGGTAAACACGTATTCACGCCACTGTGTGGATAAGTTTCTTCCACATGGGAAAAGGGGACCCATGTTTATCTAGACGGGAATCAGTTGATACGGCGAAATTTTTATTTCATCAGAATAAAAATTCTGTCTCATTGAAGAGATTTCTCTTCTTCTCTCTGAAACAATCCCATGGAGAACAGCAGAGTAAGGCCTCATGCTTTCAGATGACACCATATCTGAGACGATGCACAGGTGACCCGTGTGGGCATTTGCTCCCCCGGCAATGTCTGACACACTTCCAGTGACAATGCAGGTTATCTAGAGGAGCCTGTCTGGCGCATCAGGCTTTGACAGTAACAAAGCCTCCCTTCCATTCAATCTTTTCTAACACAACCCATGCACTGTACTTCAAGATGTCAAGAGAGTGACTCAGTCTGGTGTGTGACTCTTCTTCATGAGTTATAAAATGTGGCACAAGCAGGCAGGCATGTTCTAATGTTCTTAGACAAAGAAAACGCAGGAGCATTTCTATATCATGGGACGACACAAAACTGAAATCACTGAGAGTTTTGTGGTTGCTTTCCCGAGGTTAAGCATCCCGAGGTCCTTAGCCACCACTTTTGGTCTCAAACTCCTGATAGGGATCCCGACCCTGTGATAAGGGCATTCTTGATCACAGAGGTGGCAGATACATTTGCAGAGTTACTTTTGTTTAAAAATGGCCCCTCTTGTACCTCTCGTGTGCATATGTATGAGTACTGACCAAATGTCACAGTTTTCATGTTGTGGTATTTAAATAAAGGAGCTAATGGAAGTTAGTGACAATCATAGACAGTAGAAGGGACCTCAGTGACCAGCCCTGGTTTTATAGATGAGGACTCAGGCCCTGCACATCGCCCATGCTGACAAACTCTGCTGCTTCAGCAAGGGGTCATGAATCACATGAACTTCAACAGGGGGACTCTGTCAATTAATTAAGAAATATTTTTTGCCCTCCTGCTATATTCAAGGCAATATATGCTAAAAATTCCAACCAGTGAGTTTCCACAATGAACGTCAAATCCTAAAAATGCCGTTTTTTATGAGGTCTCTGGAGTATTTTCTAGGGCAACATTTCTGGGGCAACATATACATATGGTTATCTATCCAGGTACCTATATTAAGAGAGAGAGATCTGGCTGGGCGCAGTGACTCATGCCTGTTATCCCAGCACTTTGGGAGGCCAAGGTGAGTGGATCACCTGAGTTCAGGTGTTCGAGACTAGCCTGGCCAACGTGGTGAAACCTCATCTCTCCTAAAAATACAAAAAATTAGCTGGACGCAGTGGCTCACGCTCGTAGTCCCAACTACTCGGGAGGCTGAGAATCGCTTGAACCCGGGAGGCGGAAGTTGCAGTGAGCCGGGATCGCACCACTGTACTCCAGCCTGGGCGAAAGTGTGAGACTCCATTTCAAAAAAAAAAAAAAAGAAATGTTTATGAGAGAGATCCTCTATTATAAGAATATGAAATTTAGAAAGATTTGTATCCAACATGGCTCAAATAAAAAATGTTTGGTGCTTGAGACAGTGAAAACATGAGGAACCTGGGAAAACTCAGCTATGCAAACTGACTTTTCTGTCCAGTATCTTACAGAGAGGAGACAGTTTAATGTACTCTCATCATCCCAGATTTTGTTCTGCCTTTCAAACCTGCAATAAGAGAGGGTGTGTTTCCCAAACAAAATGTTTACCATTTGAATGATCAGATAAAGGGCAGTAAGATTACATGATATACGTGAAAGTGCTTTGTAAACCATGAAAGTCGATTAGGGGAATCAGATATATCATTGTTTTCCTTTGGTAGCCGAGTTAATGTCATTGCTCACAGATTTTAATGTTGCTTTTATACAGAGGGGAGAACCTCCTCTGAGCCTCAGGCCCCATTGTCTGTCACAGGAGGCCTGGAGCGTTTCAGGTCACTTGTGCCCCTCCTTGTGGCCCCTAAAGGATAAGGCATGATGCTAAAGGGTACGTCCAATGGGCTCTTCGCCACACGTGGATATGAAGGGAAGAAGCCATTCCAGAGTTCACCCCTAACCCCCTTCCTCAGACAGGATAACCTGTAGGCGCTGATAGTAACTAAAGGAAACTCTGTGTGATAACCTCTCTTATCCAGCATCCTTCACCTCCTTGGAACACCCACAGCTATCTGCTAGGTAGAAACAACTGTCATTAAGACCATGGCTCATTAAGACTAAGTCCTATACTGCCCCATGCCCTTCCCATCTATAATTCATCCCTGCTCTCATTACCATCTTGTTTTGTCCCCACCAGCCTTGTCAGCCGTGTCACTAAGAAGGCTGTTAAATGTCATAGGACAAGAAACACAGAGCAAGTGCTACTCAGACATGCATCCTCCCATGTTCCAGTGGAATTGTGTTTTCAGAGGTGTATCTGCTGCCACCAGTGCAGAACGTGCTCAGGAGTAATATCAGGTCATCTGTATATCCTCAGCTTGTTTGCCACCGGCCCACACCCCTAGTCAGCTGGAGATCATGCTGATACTGACCACCTCTGTAAAATTATATTTCAATACAATAACTAGGATACATTTTATTTTTTATTTTTCTTTTCAATACAGTGTTGAAATGTGCCATGTGCTGCTTGCTCATGCTTTTTTTAAAATCACAAATGTGTATCTGAAGAAAGAATTTGGCATGCAGCTCCCAGTAACGTTACTATAAATAGCATCTGTACATTGAAAGGAAATTGTCTTCCTTTAAGTCATAGGCACTGATAGACTATTATGAAACACATTTTCAGGAATACTGTACTGTTTATCCTTAATGTAACTTCAGAGTATTTCAGTGGAAAAGTCTGCAATAAATAAATGTCTTCCCCAAAGTTTGGGGACTCAGCATTTTTCCTTTGAGGAGACCAGGTTTAGCAAAACACTAAAATATGCACTTAACTACCCTTTGTTTTTCAGCATGCACATCTCTGAAAGCCAACAAGAATTCTTCAGAATGCTGGATGAAAAAATTGAAAAGGTAAGAAGTGAAATAAATAACCTACATGTTTCAAGGGAAGTATAGTAATGGCTTCATATGTGAGGGCAATAACAGTCTTGTTTCTATGTCATAAAGCTATTTTTGTGAAGGTTTGAGTGGAGAGTTAAATAAAAGTCACTGCCCTTCCAAAATAAAGTGCATGTAAGAATGTTTAATGCATAATAGAGATTCTCAGGATCCAGGACTATCCTTGCTTATTAAAGTATGTAAAGTCAGTTGGAAATCAATAAGCAGTCTTTTTTCCTAGACCGAGCATTCTGACCACTGCGTGTCATTTTGCACCCAGTGCCCTGCACTAACCTCCTACAGCAAGGGGGCCCATAGTACCTGCTGAAACCTCTCGAGGGCCTATGTGTGGCACTGCTCTGAATTCTTTGCAAGCATGTTATACCTAATTCAATTTATACTTACCTCAAGATAATGGTATTGCAACAGGTATTATCTACATTTTACAGAAGGAAACTGAGGCTCAGAATGCTTGAGTAATTTATTCAGATTTGCAAGACTAATAGTGGACAAGTTGGAATTCCATCCCAGGTCTATCTGATTCCAAAGCATTGTCTCCAAGTTGCTTCTCTGGTAGTGTGTGGGGATTTATATTGACAGTAAGATACAAAGTTGATCTGTGTGGAAATTGAACCCACAGTTTTGATCTCAGTGTGCCATGCGCTAATCAATGGAATGAAGTATGGGATATGGTCATAATTAAGAGTTTACATACTTATAGAATTTAAATTCATCTCTTCAAAGGGGTGAATTTTAAATGTTAGAGTTACAAATCCAAGTATTATACTTTTTTTATTCTAAAGAAAAGTGGAATCCTAAGTTCAGAACATATCACACTATGGTTAAAGCATGACAGGCTGATTTTACCTTTGAAATCTTTCAGTTTTAATTTATATTTCTTTTTACTTTGTGTCACCCTTTTATTTTTGTGTTTATTTATGAATTCCTAAGTTATGTATATCATTCAATGGAAGATAATGAAGGACATCTTAAATTCATTAGTATTATTTAGCAGCAGATCCCACTTTGAGGTGGACCCGCTGAGAGAATAATTGTATAATCTTCTAAGCCACCATTAAAAGACCAGTAAAGGTCATCAGTGTGAAGAATAGAGATGGATAATGAATTAAAATGAGAGTTAAATCTATAATGTTCCTTGGATATGCATAAATAAATATTTATT